ATGTATATACTCGGTTACGGAAACAGATCTGTTCGACATTATTCATCAACAAGATTGGATTACTCGAGTTGCTTTGTCATTGAGCCACGGGACTTGTACTGCACGAGCGCTGATGCTCGTGCGTTGCTGTGAACAGTATCTGCATGTCCAATGTGTGTGTTATCTCGCCTGGGTTCATTACAGTTTGGTATCGGAGCAGTTCTTCCGTTCACGTGTAAGGAGGAGTGTCGCGCGCACGTGCGCGTGCTGAACTTACATCACAACGACGATCAAGATCACGAAGGTGATCACGACCTTGAGTACGATCATCACAACAACGAAGAGCATATGACAACGAAGATCCCATCGGGCCGCGCTTGAGTTGATTGACGCGCGTGCTCGATGAAGACCCGGACGCGCACTGATGACGTGGCGGGAAAAATAGTGGGAGAGAGAGAATGCTGAAATGCAATTTTTATCAACGCGATTGTCTAGACACGAAGCATTCATCCCTAGTATAAGCTGCACGCGTCGGGGCCGAAGATGATGACGAGCTTTGATTGAAGAAGAAGATCTTGCTGATATGGCAATATCGCATTGGCGAGATCTTGAACAGGCACCAAGATTGCTGACGTGGCAGGGGGAATATTGATGTGTTGTCATTTCCCTGTTGACGCGTCTTGGTTGGGGTACTAACTGGAGACCAGATTGGCTGACGTGGCACCCCCCCTTATTGTTTGGTTATTTGATGTTGACGTGGCAGGGGAATATCGACGTGTTATTGTTCCCTGTTCACGCGGCTTGATTGAAGCTGTATCAGGGGGCCAGATTGGCTGACGTGGCACCCCTTCATTGACTGATAGATTGTAGGATGCTGATGTGGCAGGTGTTTATACTTGCTGTGTTAGCATTACCGGGGTGTCACGTGATTGACACTTGTGTGCTTGGGTGGGAGGAGCATCCCGCTAACAGCAGCGGTACAGTTGATTGGACGGTTGTAGTGCCAGCTGTCGTGCTGGGGTGCCTATTGCTTAATCAGGACTGACGCAGGAAATCATTGATGCTGACATCTTGATTGTTGTTGATGTTGGCTTGTTTCTCCTGTGTCGTTTGTTTGTCCTGTGCTGGCATACTCACCTGTGTTGTATCTGGTCACTCTGTTTGGATTGGTACCTGCGAAATGACGTCATCACATTGAGTTAGAAATTAATAACAGCGAAGAAAAAGAAAAAAGGAAAAAGAAAAATAATTGAAAATATATCCCTCAGTTATTTTGCTGTCAATGCCCTTGCTGTAATCTGCTGTGTGGAATCTGTGGGGCCGCGGAATTAATTATTGTTTACTCCCTGACCCTCGTACCAGGGCTTAGGTAGAGCAGAGACGACAACTGTTGTCTGGCCAGCTCAACCTTCTGGCCACCGAGCTGCACGATGCCGGTGCAGATGCTGAGTCACATGTACGGGGCCAGTTTGATCTGCGGAAAGCCCAGGCAGACCTGGATGCAGCTCAGACTGACACCGACCTATTGAAGATCCAGGAGTTTATTATCCAGTGCCGTAAAGCACTGGATGCGTACATCTGTCAGCAGTTCGAAGACATAGCAAATGGCAGAAATGCCAAAAATGATGTGGTGGTCACGGAACAGACAATTGATGAGAACATCTGCCAATTGGAAGCTCTTGAAAAAGAGAAAACCCGTAAGGCAGAAATGATAAAGAAAAAAGAACAAGATGAACAGCAATCAAAACGAGAACAAGAAGTCAGACAACATGTGGTAACTGTGGCAGGGGAAGAACAGGTTGTGGCACTGAACCAAATGGTTGAGTACCTTGCTCACTTGGAGACAAGGCTCGACCATTTTGAAGCAAAGTTGGAAGAATTGACCGTAGGATTGAAGAATGTGACTAATTGGTCAAAGGAAAGGAAAAAGAGGTTCGGAAGGAACAACCTAAGAAGAAACTGACGAGTGATGCTATGAAAGATCTCAGGGTCAAAGTAAAGGAGGGAGAGTCATCTGGGCCTCCTCCACCGACGCCACCATCAAGTCCACCATCCAGTCCTCACCCATCAGGGGGAAAGAAAGACAAAGAAGAGAAAACTGAGAAGCCAAAGAAGAAGGAAAAGGTAAAGATGAGATTTCCTTTTACGTTTAGCAACAAGAAAGACGAACATTTGCTTGTTTGGATCGCCGAGATACAGACGTACTGTAGTACGACGCCTGTTGCAGAAGAGTCTCAGGTCGCATTCTCTATATCTTGCTTAGAAGCAAAGGAGTGGGTCTTAGCTGAGGCTAACGCGGCAGGTTTCGACGACATCGGTAAGTGGGTCGGAACAATGACTCTAAAGCAGTTCCTTGATAAGATCAAGGAACGCTTTCTTGATAAGACGACAACCGATAAGGCCTTCGACCAGCTTACTACGATTGGACAGAAACACTGGACGTCTGTGGAGGCTTTGTCTCGCGAGGTCGATCGCTTGTTGCAAGTACCGGGCTTAAATCTGCACGATGATCAGGTCCTGCATATTTATGCTCGGGCCTTACCTGAACCCATACGAAGTCAGTTAGTGGCCGAGACAAAGTCAGGTAAGTATAAGTACCGGCAGTTTCGCGATTTGGCTCTCCAGAGAGAGCAAATGACTTCTCAAGTTAAACAGTCGTATGCATCTGTGGTGAAATTTGGTGGTAATGCAGGAGCAGGTGCAAGATACAGTAAGCGAGTCCTTTGGCGCCAAAAGCGTCAGGACCACATGCTTGTCGTCTTTGACGACGACACAGTGGAGAAACTACCGTTAAAAGAAGGAGTTCCTAGCAGCAGTGAGTTCGGAAAGGGGGACGCCACTGCTGCCGTGGTTAACAAAGGAGGACCACGAGGTCCGTATCAAGGGAGGAAACCACGCTCGTTTCCTGCGCACCCAGGTATCGTGGCATTTAAGCCGTGGGAGAAAATGGAGATTGACCAAAAGACCTGGCAGGATAGGATGGACAATGCGCAGTGTTTAAAGTGTGGAAAGGAGGGACACATCATTGCATGGTGTCCACTCATCCGACACCCAAAAGCGAGCCGCCAGTAGGAGTAGCATCTGCTCTTACTGAGTTGAAGAAGTCAGACGATGAGAAAGGTAAGGCGCCTACTAACCCTTTCACTTCTTCGACTCGCGTGGCAGAGGATGGTTGTCCTCTGGCCCATCATCCAGATCACCCTGAACCTGTCTTATGTTCTGTCTGTCTGGATGACTCCTTTG